AAAATGTTATTGTTCCGGACAATTTTAGGCCAGTAAAAATGTTATTTTTAGTATTGTAGGATTTATATATAAAAAAAAAATCGTCTCCGCACACTACGGAGATGAATTATTTTTTTTTTTGTACAAGTATATAAACATCGAACTAACAAAGAGGATTCCATCCCTAAATTTGATTATACTGAAAACTAAAATATGCCTTATATCATCACCTCTACTAATCTCCTTGTCACTAAAAAATTAAAAAAACAAACAGGTCAATAAACAAACCAAAAATTTGAATCTTCCACACACCATCATTCACGAAAATATCAGTTGGATTACGGAGGAGATATTTTCTGAAACTTCATGAAATTTAAACAAAAATCAATCTTACCTCAGATTATAACCTGAAAAAAAATCCTCCTAGAATATGTCTGTATACCTAACGGAAGACAAGGAAGATCCACGAGCCATTTTGGACAAATTGACAAAGTACGATATTTGGTCTCGTAGATTGCTACCAGNATTTCTGTATACCTAACGGAAGACAAGGAAGATCCACGAGCCATTTTGGACAAACTGACAAAGTACGATATTTGGTCTCGTAGATTGCTACCAGGATAGCACACTGAAGTTTTTGCTCCAAGGCACGACAAGTTCTTCTAAGTAGCATTTGAGCTCTTACTTGAGGGCTGAGATCGATTATCAAATTGGATGAATTGGTTATACTCATCTAAACAATTAAAACCAAAGTTCGGGTATATGCGTCTTTCTTTGATGTTTCTAGGAAGCTCTTCTTCAAACTCAGAATTCGAATCACTCATGGTTTATTCTTCTTTGGTTTTGCGAGTAACACAATCATCATAAAGCCTGTGAATGGACTTTGAAATGGCTGTCACTTCTAAGATACCAGAACTAGTATCCTACGAATATTCGATACACTTCATTTTGTATTGAGGATCCAAAATTGTAACAACGGCCAGTACAAGGAACATGTTCTATGATTCGAACAAATTTATCTGAATTTTTGGATTCCTTTATCAAACTAGCTTGTAATTCTTGAAGATTATGAATATAGATGCCTACACTAGCATGTTTTGTCTTGAAAAGAACTTCAGCAACATCACATTTTGGACAAGTTTACAAACATCTCTAACTCTCTTCCACTCTATGGGATATCACGATCCCTACAATGATCCGTTTCAAAATACACGATTTTTTCAAAAGGTTGGAGAAGCTATTTATAGATCAATTTATCTTGATCTACGTTAGTTCATTTTTTATTACCCTCTAACAAGAGTTACAATGCCCAGTCCACCAATAGCCAACACAAGGAAAAGATTCGTCGGCCCTTGGTTTAGAGACTAATTTAGCTATACAATGAATAACCATATATGTAAATGAAGTTAAATTTCGAGATCTATTGTCCTTTTTTTTTGTTTTTTGCTTGCCTTCCTACTGTGTAAGATCATCACTGCATACAAAATCATGCTAGATC